GAAATCCCTCCCCACACCATAACGGACCCACCAATAAAACTTTCGCATTCTGTTATTAAATTTTGATTAAACCAGTTCTTCTCCACACTCTCTTTCTTCCATCCACCATGTTAAGGCAAAACCTTGACTCATCCGTAAACAAGACATTCGACCATTCAGGAATATTCCACTGTCCATAATTTTCAACAAAATTTCTTTTAGCAGCACGATGTTCGGGCAATAATTTGGGACCTTTTGCAGGTCTCCTAGCTTTCAAATTAACTTCTTTTAGACGTCTACATACCGTCTGCTTACTTACTGCAACATCACGAATTTGGCGAAGATCTTGCTGAACATTTAGCGCAGTATTTGATCGATTCCGTAAAATCCGCAATCTCAAGAAGCGATCATCTCTTGGAGAAGTTTTTCGGGGGCGACCAGAACTGACCCTCCGAGCGGTGCTTCCTGTTTGTTAATACTTGCGGATTGCTCTACGAGCAGTTGCTTCATGAACTCCCACTGCACGAGCAACGTAACGTTTACTACGCCCATCGTTTACTAACGCAACTAATCTTGCTACTTGGTCAGGATTTATTTGAGGCATTTTATGTAATTTCAGTCAATAAAACAAGACACTTAATTAATGACACAACGACAAATGGTCAAATATGGAGGCATACAACAAATTAGTTGTTATGGCAACGGCATTTGTTTTTTTAAAGACAATGTGATCCTACCAGAGTACAACCCAATCAATTTTGAGTACTCTGATCCTTCAATAAATTTAATTCGTGGGATAAGCGTAAGGTATCAGCAAAAAAGCTGTAATTCGGAAAATTTTAGAGATAAATCAATGAATAAAGACACAAATTGCTAGCAAAAGAAGCCTCTTTCGTATAGGGTGTAAGCACTTTGTATACCATTACTCAATTAACACACAGGGTGAGTCAAAAATCAAGAATACATCATGGTTCGAGTTATTCAACCACCATCAAGGAGGCTTTGAAAAAATGTTCACCTCTTTATTTTTTTTTTAAGACAAATGCATTACCTACCAACAAATAAAAAAAAACCGGCTTTCTATTTTTTGTTTTTAATTTTCAAGAAGATAGGTCAAATATCAAGTGCGTCACTTTTTTTGGAACTAAGTGTATATGGTTGGCGTATGTTGAATTTGTTTTATTTTCAAAAAAATTCATCTCATGTTCGTGAATGCGCGGATTGAAAGTACGACCTGTCTGACCGATATATACCTCAGGGCAAGATCCACAGTTGAGTTTGTATACCCCTGATTTTCTGAATTTAGAAGTTTCTTCATTATTTGTTATGTTCCCAACGTGTTATTTGTTCTATTTGCTACTTTTAAGTCCTGTTTATGTAGAAATGAAACTTATTTTTCAGTTGATGATCCGAAATAGTTTGAAGTTCTATAATTTTGATTATTATTTTTGATGGCAGGATACACTTCTTGAATAGCTTTATTATGGAGTTTTTCAGAAAGAATACTGTCTATCGAATTAATGTTGTATCCGTTGTTGACTGCAATCTGATTTATGATATTGAGTTCATTATTGAAATTTACTTCTGAAAGAGGGACATTCACTCGCCTGTGTATCATACTATTATATGCTGCAATTTTATGTTGCTGCTGGTGTGTTGAATCATTATCAATAGTGATATCAGTGTGGGAAGGTTTATAGAAAATTGAAAAATCATTTTTATCATTAATTTTACTTACCGTGAAATCTGTGAAATTGAATGTCCCCAATAATAAGCATAAGCTTGTGAAACCAGGAAATGTCATCAACTGTCATTTCATAACAGTTTTGGTAGTTGACATAGAATGTTGACATACAAATCAAACTATTGAACTAGGTTATGGTTAAACGTCCGACGGCGTAAATATATCGCTATCCAGCTACATTACATTGGGAATACTACTTTCGGCAAATAATTCCAAAACTTTGTCGTTCTATGGGCGAAAGAGTTTTGGTAAAGAGTTGTTTCGACATATTCCCAGGTTAACGATGAGAGGATGTGCTGACTGGAATTGTCGAATTGGTCTGACTGGTATTGATATGTGTGTCATTGATACAGGAAGAATAATTGTAAAATAAATTAAAGTAATTTAATTAAAAGTAAATTTTTGGATAAAACCTTGCCCTCCTCGTGCCCCCTGAATAATAATTTCTTTATTCACACAAAATCACACACTCATGAAATCACCATAAAAGAACACACAGTTATCATGATAAAGATTGAGTTGGTAGTGTGAACAACGCAGCAAAAACCGATAAGTGTGAAAACACTTGTTTCAGAATTGACAAAATAAAATATTTGAAATATAGAACTACTTACAATACAATCATAACTCTATTCCAAAGAGCATACATGAGCATGCGAAACCTAACCTAACCAATAGATAATAAATAATATAATATTAAGTTGACGTAATTCAAGTGCCGTTGCATTGTTTCGTATATGAGTGATACAATTGTATATGAATAGAATGTAGTATAGAAAAAAAAACAGAACACAAGCTGTATAAAGTACATGAGGACGAAAATAATATATAAATAAAATGCATATTGAGCATAGTACCTACAGGTAAAGTACGAGTTGGATAAAATTCAAATACGAGGATAGATGCAATATAAAGAAAATAAAAATACGGTGTATATACATTTACAAAAATTTCATTGATACATGAAAAAATAGATAAAGAAACAACATATAAGTTCACGGACAGTCAGACATTGTTTACATAGATAGGAGATATTTGGTACCAATGTTTGACTTTCAAAGTAACTCGAGATCAAATATCTTGAATAGGAAAGAATGAACTCTTTTAGAGTTTTCTTGAATATTGATATATTTGTTATGTTTTTTATGTTTTCTGGTATGATATTATATAGTCTTGGAGCGAAAAAGGAGTATGATCTTTGTGAAACCGCCTTTAACATCAATGGTGTGACATAATGATGTTTCTGTCGGGTAGCATAATCATGACGTGGAAGTTGCGAATTGGTTTTATTGATGTGAAATTTATTGTTCGACCAGAGGAAATATAGTTGTCTCAAGTCTAGTATTCGTGCTTCTTTGTAAATGACGCCCATGTTCTGATGACACCGCGCCTTTGTTTGCGATTTTAAAACCTAGAAACCGATCAAAAATATGAACAAAGATAATAGCCGAGGGACATGTATGCACGCCCCTGCTAACAGTTCATTTCCCCCAAAAGGTCCGTGACCGGCGCTCTATCCGTCGACCTACTTCTAGTCCTCCGCGCCACCGTCCCCCGTTTCGTTTCTGTTCGCCACTGCATCGCGGCCGCCTTCGATGCGATCGCTAATCGCTCCCGCTCCACTCTCCCGCGTCGCACGTACGCCACACAGCTAGCGGCGCACGTGTTGTTTGATAGCGCAACGCCGAATGTCGATTGTTTTCGCGACGCGCCAACTCGATCTCGAAGTGACAGCTTCGCGTCTTCCTGCAGAATTATTCTCGCCTTTTTCGCAATAAGAAGTTGAACGCTGGCGGCCAATTCATCGGGTTAGTCTCTGACATGTTGTTGGATTACCAAAAACGATATTGTGTGTCCTTTGTTCGGAAATCAGGATTGGCAAAACTCTGCTCTCCCGCGTCGCACTTACGCAGCTAACGGCGCACGTGTTCTTTGTTAACGCAGCGCCGATTGTTTTAGCGACCGACGCGCCAACTAGATATCGAAGTGACAGCTCCGCTTCTTCGTGGAGAATTATTTTCGCACAAAAAAGTTGTACGCAGGCGGATAGTTTCTCAGGTTTGTCTTTGAGCTGTGTGTGGATGAACAAATCATGTGTTGCGTCCTTTTTTCGAAAATCAGGGTTGACTAATAAAAAGTGGTCATTAAGGAAACCTGTAGGAACGAATATTGACGGTTTGTTATCTATGTGCATTTCGCAGGATGTTCTGATTTTTGAGTTACATTGTCCTTCAGGATCCGTCTCTGGTAATAAAATAGGCAGGTCGTTAGCTGACACATTGGCAAACATTAAAAAAATTAATAACGCCATGAAATCCAACTGTTTCAACTTACCAATAATTGGAGTGGCGGAACAGTAACCTATCGGATTTCTGCAAGTTTTTCGGATTAGATTCTCAAATGGATATTCAGAACACTCTTCACTCTTTGTTGTACCTGTGGTTAGGTCAGATTGTTAAGAACAAGTTTCTCTCCTCATTGAACTCAACAACACTTGCTGATACCCTATCAAGAGTTGTCTGGATATTTGAATTGAAGACGCTTTTTATCTTGTGTAGTACACTATTCCACTCGATTCATATTGTCCTCGTTTTTTCAAGGGTCAGCAACGCTCAGTGGCATAGGCAGTTATTAGGTGTATTCCCTTTTATTGAAATAACACCTCATAGCTTCCCTTTTCTGGACTATTAAACTTAGCAGTTAACTCAAACAGTCCAAATTGAGAAGGTCCAGTATCACCTGATGTCTTTGTATAAATTCAGATTACTATAACCACCATTATCAAATCATCATGCGATATTGAAAAGTCTGCTGTCGTAAACATTCGCATATTCCACTTTTGTTCTATATGCTACCGAGTATGCTACCTACTGATAATATGCTAGAAACAGAATAACTTTGAATAAATTGAAATGGACATAAATATCAACATCCCCAACAGAAATATAACTGAACCTATAAGTTTTGAAAGGTTGTATAATGAAATTGTACCTACCATAATTATCATTTTTTCGTGTGCTTATTTATTGATGAAATAGGGATAGGACTTTCGGGAAATAGTGTGTTCTTCAATACTTTCATCTTGTCCTTAATCTTATTCTTCGCCGTTCAAATGGTACTACCTGTTTAGAACTATGTAAAGGAGTGTAAAGATATTACGAAACGTGACGTACTCTTCTATGATTACTATGTTTTGTCTTCTGTATGTTCTTGAATCCATTTATTGATACATCAATAAACTCGGAGACCCTGATAATGAAGCTGTTCTTTGTTTCAGTTTGAATAAAATGCAAATAATGGAAGACGTGAAAGAGGGTTGCAACGTCCAACCTTCTTCACCAGGACACGCTGAACAACGATCTAATGAAGTGGAAGTGAAGTCCGAAACCAATGGTGGTGAATATGAGTCACAAGAAAATGAAGAAAACGGCGAAGAAGGAAAAATAGAATGCGAAAAACTTGAAGCTAAGGACCTCGACAATGAAACAGAAATAATAAAACCGGATCCCGACGCCAACAGTTTGAATGAAGAAAACTACAGTAACTCCAGTTCCTCGAATCCTGAAATCAACAAAAGAAAATTCGATCATGACGAAGTTCCAGTCAAAAGACTGAAATCGGAAATACACCAGAATTTCAATTCACGCGACAAGATTCTCAATGATTTCATAGACATGGCAGAATGTAACAATATGGAACAAATTCATTCGTTCAGTGAACAACTCCTTGCGGAAATAAAGACATTGAACGAGTTAGCCAAAGAGAAAGAAAGGGAATGGAACAACATAATACATTTGAAAAAGCTCAAAGAGGAACTTCTCCTAAGGATGCAAAGAAAACGACAAGTACTGATGATAAATGAAAAATCAGATTATGCCGAACTGCTGCATGAGAGTCAAAATGGAAGCACGGAAGACAGTCTCAGAAATATATCCCAAAGTATCCTGAAATACAGTTCAACTAGCCCTTCTAAATCCACATCACTTCTCGCCAATACTGGATGTGCGAATGGAAGTAATCTCAAATACAGAAATATCCAACCGAAACCATCACATCAGCTATGCGACTTGAACGGTTCCTCAAGCGCTCAGCAAGCTAAAAGACTGACACTCGATGTGCAATCCATCATTGCAGACTACAGGCAGAGACATCCTGAAACAGTTCCTAGACGAGGAAGAAGAATCAGGTCACACACGGATGTAACGAATAAATATCCGAACAGTATTTTGAATTTCTCATCCATGACTCTCGGCAGTGGGTCACAAATGAGGCACGGTACTGATATCAATGGAGAATTGGGACTTTTATTGAATACAATCAATTCAGTAAGTAATCTTTCTACATTAGAAACGGAAACTTTTTCACCTCTTGATTCGCAAGAATGGGAATCCCTATTAGTAGGAGAGCCAGCTGCAGATTTCTACCGTCATCTGATAACGAAATGATATGTCCCAAAGGAAAGTCAAAACATTGTCGAAAGGCACCTGTGCCAATCACTATCCTGAGCAAAATAATTTAAAAAATTGCACTTTCCTGTGCGGAAATTTGCCGTGGATTTGGCTCAGACTGAGGGGTGGAACAGGTAGGTTTTTTAAATCTACCATTCCATTGGTATCGGATGGCATAATTCTTATCTCGTTATCAAATCGCGAGTGCAAATTTCCGCACAGGAAAGTGCAATTTTTCGATCATTTTGCTCATGATAGTGATTGGCACAGGTGCCGTTCGATAAACTACAATGGTTTTACACGAGGTTTTACATGCCTTTGGGACATATATCATTTCGTCATCAGATGACGATGGAAATTTGAAGCCGGCTCTTGGACTATATTATTTTTCAAGAACACAATGCGTTCTTGGGGTGAATAAAGAGAGAAGATAGTTATACAGGGTGGTCGAGTGTTTTAGAACTAAACCAAAAACTCTTTTGTCTATAGAACGGCGAAGCTTTGGAATTCTTTGCCAAAAGTAGTATTCCTAAAAACTCCTAATCTCCCAAAGTTTTAATAAAATCCAATACCTACCTCCTCTCCCTATCCTCCCTAGGTACCCACGATGATTTGGGAACATTATAGGGATTCCCTTTCGTGTGCCCCAAACGATTTACATAAAATGGAAGATACAGGAAAAATATGAATAGACACCTATTCAGATTCTTCATTTGATCCCAAAAAATGGACAAACATTTTATTATGAAAATATGGTACCTACTACAAAAATGTGATTTTAATTTTTTCATGTAATACATGAGATGCTTACCAGAATGCTCACAAAACTCCACTATTTCTCTTCAATTATCAATTATGGAAAGCTGGCGCAGACTCATTGAGATAGGACATTAGGTATGTTCTCGTTCGAAAAATCACCAGTCCGAAACCATCAGAAGCATGCGCAGTTCCACGGAACATGAAAAATACCAAATGTTCTGTGAAACTGCGCATGCTCCTGATGGTTTCGGAATGTTTATTATTCGAACGAGAACAAACCTTATTTGTAATAGACTCCCCTCCATTTTCCAGTATCTATACAATAAGGAACGTTCGAAAACTGATTCTCACTTACAATCACCCTGTTAATCAAATCTACGTAATAATAATATAATAGATATCTCAACTCTATCAAGTAGGTACAATCTTTAATTATTGCAGAACAAACCAGATCCAGGCAAGCTACCGAATCCAGATTCGACTATGTCCAATCCACAAGACAGCGTATCATTCAAAGATATGCTCTTGCAATTCGCCAAATTATCTCAGAGTGAAAGGAACGAGCTAATACAGAACGCCATCAAACCACCAACGCAAGTTCCTGTCAAACCGCCTCCGCCATATCCGGAAGTTACCGTACATCCAGTTCGGGACCCAGTTCCTACAACTTCGTCTGCATCCTCAAGTTCACTATTACACGGGATACTAACAAAGGTAAATATTAGCTTTCACGCAAACAGGAATGACAATCAATCAAGCCCTGCATCCATCCATTAATCCATCCATCCCTCAATCAATCATAACAATTTAGATAAGATTGAGTGAACTATAAGGAAATCCAGGAGGGATTGACTTGTATCTGTCATGTTTTGTAACCAAACACTGTAACTATGAGGTAGGCATGGTGTGTTCCTAGTAATACTGTTGACTTAGCAACAGCTAAAGATGTGGATTGTACGGTGAACTGTAACCTCTAGGGGTGAGCCACAATAGACCCATCTGGGGTCGCAGTGGAGGGGAGGTATTCGCCCCACTCACATGGAACCTAACCTAACCTAACCTAGCAACAGCCTCTTCACCTAATTGTTATTGTGAAAAGCTTCCTGAATTTTTGTATTCACAAAAGATGGTATATCTCTAGCAAGTTTAGCATGTTAGTGCTTCATTGCAGATCCCAACATTAAGTCAGTAAATATTTTCCAGCTTATATTGATGTTCCTTGAAGGACAGTAACCGTCTATTGGTCAAACTCGGAATGTCGTTAGCTATAACCTTCGACTGTGACTCCCCCCTGGCATACTGCTTCAATATAAAAGGAATTTTCTTGTGTCCACCTTTCTATCCAGCAGCATAGTGAGGACTATGGTATGCCGACCACTGCCTTTGGTCCCATGAACAGCTTTTTCCAGATTTCTCCATTTCCAGCGCATCTGCTGCGTCATTACCCCCAATAACCTGGGACACATTAAAATATCAACTTGTGACTCGCCAGTGTTTGCAGGCTTGATCTGATTTAAGAGCTTGATGAAGATTAAATAGCAGCGTGACTATCGTAGCTGATGATGATTTGTCTACCTCCTTTCTCAGGCATGCCTCCATAAGATGAATGAAATACTGGAGCTTGGAGCATACCGCCACAAGGATGTGTAGGAACTGTGACTCAGCCCCTGTGTCTTCATCAGTCTTAGACTCTTGAGGATGTTATTCTAGGTGCCTTTCTGACAGTTGGTTACAACTCTTTATTCAGGAACGATGAATTCAGCTTCGAAAATAAAAATATCCATCAACATAATCACAGCTGAATTGCAACTATGGAATCGAATCGGCTTTAACTTGATGAACACACACTGTTCACTTGTGAATCACAAACTTATTCCTTAAATGTGACCGAGGTTGCCTCAATAAATCAGACCTACAGTTTCAAGGCAGCACTTATTCCCGCAGATGATAAAGTATCGACAAAGATTATTGTGAAACAATTATTACCGAGTCCATCAAGACTCAAAATTGGAGGTGATAGGAGCAATATTTCAATATTTGTGGAACCAATATAATAAGTCTCACTTGTTGAGGCAAATATAATCGTCGCATTACATCTAGACGTATTGAAAAGGAATAAAAAAGATGTAGCATTAAAAATAGTTGTTTATTCAACAAAAAAGAAGACATTTTTTTTTTCATAATGAATAACTATAAAAATAAACACAGCACATATATTACAACAATCAGTATCAGGTAAAGAAATTAAGAATCAGGTGCATGAGAAAATGAGAATGGGAAAACAATACTTTCTTCAAAATAATTCAAAACACTAGAACTAATAAAGAATGTTACAGGAGTATAACAATCAACAATCAGTTGCACTAACTCATAGTGGAGCACCTACATAAGCATAGCAGTACATCCAGTATGGTTGCAAAACAAATATTGTCAAAAAAAATTAGGCAGAGGGGGGTTTACAGTGGCGTAATTAAACTTGAATCATCTCTAGCTTATATTGGACGTGTATATATTTCGGGCTCATATGGGTATATCATCATCATTAATACATATTTGGGAAAGTAAAAACATTATTTCAAGAGTACCTACACTATTTCACCCCTAACCAAACCGATATTTGAAACTCCTCTATACGTGTTTCGTGTTTCACAAACTATGTTAGCATCTTCAGGATGTTTCAATCTTCTCCTGAAGATGCTATTATAGTTAGCCAAACACGTATCAAGGATTTTAAAAAATTGGTTTGGTTAGCATCTTCAGGATGTTTCAATCTTCTCCTGAAGATGCTAATATAGTTAGCCAAACACGTATCAAGGAGTTTAAAAAATTGGTTTGGTTAGTGGTAAAACAGTGTAGTGTGGTAATCTTCCTAATTCAATATAGTAAGACTACCTATTAAGAGAACTGGAATTATAATAGTATTCGAAGTATTGAATGAGAACAAGGTTCGATAATGTAAACAAGTTTCAATTAGTGTAGGGGGGCAGTATATGTATACAAACCAGTTTATATCAACAGACCTTCTTCTCATTTCATAATTCAGGTAATAAATTTCTGGAACTTCAGAGCTGATGGCTCAACTCATGCAGGTGAGAACGAATGAGAAAATCACTCTCTGTGAGATATATACATAAATGTTCAATATTGTTCTTCAAAAATAATCATTTGATTTCAAATATATCTCAGACCGAATAGGATACCATCCATTCTATTTCACATACCCATCTTACAAACCGCTACTAACAGAATTCTAGCAACTATAGAATTTATACAGACTATTATTACTGGTACTGGTGGGGGACGTTTCCACGTCAGCAACTAGTCCCTAATGGGACCTTTTTGCAAACCCCAAGTGTTTTCAATGACTGATGTGGTTTGCTCAAGAGAGCTGGCTAACATCCTTTTCAGGCACCGCCCATCAGCTCTCTTTCAGAGTTTTTCAGCTGTGTTTTGTAGGCTAGTAATGTACTCACTACCATATGCGCAGTGGCAGGCCTGCTAACTATCCTCGTTAACCCCCGATACGGAGGTCTACTTAAGCAGCTGGCCCGCTCTCACGCTCAGCTGGTAGTTTTCCACACCCACCTACATACACCGTCCTACTACTTCTCTGATGCTCACAACCACATCATCATATCTTTCTGCGTGTTCTGTGTAGGCTTTGTTACTAACTCCATGCGCCACTTTAGGAGCAGCACTGTTAATTGGAACGCAACAGCGAATCGTGCAGGACTATCCCCAGCCGATGCTCCGAAACTTCACAATATTCAATTCGTAAATAAAATATAGAAAAAAGTTCCTTGCCCGTGCTGGGAATCGAACCCACGACCTTGCGGTCGTGAGACGGACGCTCTTCCACTGCGCCAATCCCGGCTCCAGACTATTATTAAAAATATATTTAACTATTTTCCTCTAGAATAAAAAACTAGGTAATGAGGAATTTGACTTCAACTGGCCAATCGTTATTCGTTAGTTTGAAGCAAATGTAATTACAATAAGCAATAGCCTTTTTTCACAACACTGGGATGTACTTTGAATTAGTACCTACCTGACGGGTTGAGTGTTGTATGCATTCCAAAATAATAAAAAATAAAAAACACGGAGTAACGTAAAACCTAAAATACCATTGTTAGAATAAACTTACCATAGGTGCAGAAAGGTTCATTTCCAATATTCATTATATTCTTGTAAATATTTCATGTTGTGAGAATGTATATGTCACCTGATTTTGGAATTACTTCTATTCTGACAATCAATTGACTCAGATCGTCATGTGCTGCCCTACAAATAAATCAAGATATTAGTAGAAATATCACATCGAATAGTCATTCAATAGTTTAATTCAACCGTAGGTGTATTCGACAGTACAAACTGTTTTGTAAGATGTTGAAGAAACAATGTTTGGATATACAGATTGTTTGATTAGGGTCGGCCAACGGCCACAGGTCTTGCTAATCCTTAAAATGATCTAATGATAAAAGTATTACCACACCAATAGTCACCAGGACATATGCGATTTAGAGTGACAATCATATATTCAATTTTCTCTCACACAGTTGCATGACAAGAAGTTCCGCAGCAGGTGTGAGTTAACCGACCTTCCTAAACCACCCTGTATATTTTATAATAAAAGTAGGTAGTGTGTACTTTGGTTATATTCAGACTATTAAAAAAACGAAGGCTACAGCACACAAACTCTATAACGAGCAAATTCTCACATTTTTCGCCTCAAGCCATTATCCAGAAGTAATTTCTGAAAGTGAGTAAAATTTAGAAAATGTTTAATAGTTATATAGTAAAGTATAAATTTCATAAATTTCAATCTAACTTCATTCAAATGTTTTTAAGTTTTACAAGCTCAAAAATCGATTAGTTTTTTATTGCAATAATCTATTGAATTATTGCATAAAATTAACATTTTGAAAGAATGTTCATGTTATTTGTCACATGAAAATTGTGTGCAAATTCTAACCGGGGTATTTTTACCTTATTCATATGCCCAATTTCAATTTGATTCATTTCAGACACCTACCAAACAAAACAGTAAAACTTCGTTCAGTCCAACCTTGGCTAGACTTTTGACAGCACCTGAAAAAGCAGCAGGAAACCTCGTGACCTCAACTCCAACAATTACAAATACAACCATCCATCCGTCAAATATGTCGATTTCAGAAATTCTTTCTACTAGTAAGGTGAGTTGTATGGTATTTGGAAAATTGTCAAGCTAGAACTTACGTATTTTTCTCAATCAAATTTTATTACTAAATATCACATTTTCCTAGTTTGAAAATTATATTTGCAACTTGTCAGTTTCACGTTTCACTCTTAGCAAAGCAAAATTGGGTCCTAAATATCAGAGCCGGTCTGAGAGTGTGGCAAAGGTCGAGAGACCTAGGGACGCAAATTCACTTCTCACAGAGAAACTCATGTTTTGACTACAAGTTCTACACCTTTTTCAATTGTAATTCAGAAATCGTAGATTGTAATTCAGATTTCTCGAATGAAATTCAGAAAATGTCAATTGTAATTCAGATTAGCTAATTGAAATTCAGAAACCATCAATTGCAATTCAGGTTAGTCAAGTGAAATTCAGAAAACTCCAGTTGTAAATCAGATTTTTCAATTGGAATTTCGAAAGCGTCAATTGAAATTCTGATATCGTCATTCGTAATTCAGAATGCAACAATTGTTATTCAGGCTACGTTATTTGTAATTCACATAAGTAACATGGACTTCAGAAAATATCAATTGTAATTCGGATTAGACAAGTGAAATTCAGAAAATTTCAATTGTAATTCAGATTAGTCAAATGAAAATCAGAAACCATCAATTGAAATTCAGATATCATCAATTGTAATTGAGAATGTGTCAATTGTAATTCAGACTGATGGATTTATGAAGTTATACATGATGAAGCTTTCTGAATTTCAATTAACCAATCTGAATAACAAATGACGTAGTCTAAATTACAATTGACCCGTTCTGAATTAGAAATGATACATTCTGAATCACAAATGACACTTTCTGAATTTCAATTGCCGCTTTCTGAATTTCAATAGACGCTTCCTGAATCTCAATTGATTAATTTGAATTGACTCTTTCTGAATTTCAATTAACTAATCTGAATTACAAATGATATTGTCCGAATTACCCTTGAAGCTTTCTAAATTACAATTATTGGAAAAGGTGTAGATTGCATATGATAAGACACTTTTATGCCGGATAATACAAGAGGTTCTCGTCATGTATAATCCGGCGTCTTCGAAATGGGTGATATACACGAAGCGTTGAGTTGTCCCATTCGTCAGCAGACCGAGAGCGACTGATAAGGCCTGGTGGTCCGAAATAGTCTCGCGCCTGCTGACAAACTTGGCAACTCTGTCCAGCCTAGATCTCTTATTTATGAGATCTAGTTCAATGAATAGACACTTTTATATTTTCCAGGCACACAATGAAATAACTATAACTCCAGTGGACACATATGAGGCAACGCCGACTAAAGCAAGAAATGGTGTAAGTTTCAATTCACAATTATTATGGAATGATCATTTTTAATAACTCTAATATGTAGTAGCGTACCTTGATGCAAACTGACGTATTTGTCATCTAACAGGGTACGGACAGATCATGGCTCCTTTCTCCTTTTAATCATCATTTTCATGTTGAGAACGGAAGCAGATTCGTTCCCGAAACGTCCAAAGATAAATAAAAATTCGATATTTTTTCAATATATCTATATTTCTTTCGATATAATAGGAAATATCGGAGAGTTCAGTCTATCGGGCTACAAGCTAACTACTTTATTGTTATGCCAAGCTTTCGAAAATTTTTATTTTCTTCTTCAAGGCTGAAACAATATATTGTATATGAAACATTTTGTTACGAGTGAATTCAACAAAAACAAGAACTCACTTGCAATGCGAGTTAAAAGGTGAAAATTGGAATAATAATGAGTTTAAAAAAATATAAATGATGTAGACATAAAAATTGATAGGACAGTGAGAAGAGTCATATAATTTATATACCGAAAGAAATGAAATTATAAAATTAGATTGTTCTTGAATATCTTATATGAACAAAAGATAATAAATAAGAATGTCTGACTGAGATTATCAATATCTGGAGAGAAAATCCCAAAAAATCAATTAAAATGATTAACCCCGATTAACCTACAGACAGAGTGTTTACAATATCCTATCTATGATAATCTGTGATTGATTCACTTCAGGTTGAGGAAGAGGCTGAAGATAGTGCAGATCGACTAGTAATTGACGAAAATAGCGATGCTATAGATGCGAGGAAACCCTCAAGCACGGATAATAATTCAGAAGCAGGCGATGAAGTGCCTCTCTGTCAGGGCTGTAACCAGAAGCCGGCTCAGTTTGTATGCGCCGGTTGCGGAAACCAATGGTACTGTAGCAGAGACTGTCAAGTAAGTATCAGATTCCTAACTTTTTTCACTGTTACAACTCTTTGTATTGAGGGATAGTCGCTTATATCTCAGAAAGTAACAATTGTATTCCAGGATATTTTATGTGTCGTTTGAGAAGGCATCATTTGTAGGTATTTCACATATCAGTGCTCTCGAGATAAGGGTTCAATGAGGTGCTCAGTTTTTCCAAATAACAACCTTTAGCATAGAGCAATGGAAATTAAAATTGATCACTTCAGGAGCTGCATCAACTAAAATGATGTCAATTTCTCAGAGATATTTTCTATGCAAGATGTGTTTTTTAGATTTCAAATCTATTTGAAACATCTTCAACCCTGAGTGTACAAGTGGAGGTACACAAAACCCCGCGAATTTTCTTTCACTGACAGAGTGACCGCTTTTCTATAAGTTGGACACCACCTCCGAAATTACAAGTATTTTTCGAGGACAACTGGAACGGTTAGTCCGTTATTATACCAGAGAACAAGCAAGGCAGTTACAATGGGCTTATATCACAAAACATTTTTATTTTATAATTCGATAGAACTCACTCAAACTAGCTCACCACCGCAAACCGTTTCTTGCTGTGAGCTCCCTACGTTTTATAAAAAATTATTGAAATCCCCGATTTTTCGGACCTCTGAAAACGAGGCGATGATGTGACGTCAAAACCCTAATACTGAAACAGGACTATTCCAGACAAAGATGAATGATACATGATTTCTGACAGAGTGAATTAGCGCGAGATCACAGTTGAAAGGATATCAGTTGTCTCAGTCTCCGTCGGGCGTTTGATATTTTCTTTAAGCTATGGCGAGATGCGGTTTCTACGTCATAGGAGGGTCCGTTTTCAGAAGGTACTATTATTTATGTCCAAAAATAAAACATTCCAGTTAATTTTTCGATCGAATTATAAACATGGTTTGAGTTAGAGTTCTACTAAGGTGTACACGCCCATTTTTTGTCGAGGTATTTGAATACTTTTCATTTTTGAATTTAAAAGTTAGTGTCTGCCTTCAATATACTAATATCTGTGAAAAGAATTGATAAAACTGTCATTAAAACTAGTAGTATTGTTTTATCAATCAAGAATACTGCATAACACTGTGGGGTGCTGTCTACACCACTTGTGTACTAAAGTATCAAAATCCCACGTGTGCTCTTAATGGTTGATCTAAATTTTATTTCCTGCAAGGAACTTTCAGGTGGTAGGTTAGAGTATCTAGATGAAAATGTTGTATTATTATTTTGAAAGATTCTCAGATAGAAGAGAAATGGAAACATAAAGAAATGCATTGAGAATTTGCATTCTCTATCCGATGAAAATATGAATTCATTTTCGGTATATTCAGTAGAAATACAATAAGTACTTCAAACAACTACTCTTCTCGAGACTCTTCTGGCTATATGCCACGATGAACATTGAATTACTTCTACTGTTTTATTTCCTAAGTATTTTAATTGTTCATCCATCATCACTTGTATCCGAAGAATCACTTGTGCTTCAGACTGTTTCCTTCACTTCTGGGGATGATATAACATTAAATTCAATCTCAAAGTCAAAAAATTCCACTACACAGATCAAAATAATCAGTCAACTTCTGTGAAAGGCTGTGAGTAAACTGTTATGAGTAACACTGAGAAACCAAACGATAATGATTTGAGAATATTTATCGAAGAATTTGAACTCCCGACAAATTCACAAATTCACAATTCACTCAACTTCTAACAAAACGCGTGGAGTCCTGAATGCTCTCTCAAGCGTTTCTGAAATTGAAATAATATTTTCTGAAATGCAAATACAACTCTGGAATTGATACTATCTGAAATCAAATTGACTTTTCTGACATGCAATAACTGACGCTTTCTGATATGATTTAACAATTTTTCTCGATAGACTCGACACTTTCTGAAATGGACTTGACTATTCTGAAATACAATTTACGCTATTCTGGAAAACAATTGATATTTTCTGAAATTTAATTGACTATCACTCATCCTAGACAATTATTGAATCTGACGGCAGTTGATTCTGTTCGAAAGACAAATCATTCATTCTCAGAAGGCAGTTCAGAATTATGCTAGATCTAATTGATTCTTTGATTGATTGAACTTGGCTTGGCTTAACTCAAATTACAATTCAATGAAGTCGATTGGGAATACCGGGTACCTACTCAATATAGTTAATAGGGTTTGAATAATTTTGACAACTCAACGCATTAGTCAATGGTCTTTATATTTTCAGGTTACTGCATGGGATGAACATTCAGAAGTATGTTCGGGTTAGAATGAGGATATCGTTAAATCCTTGGTTTTTCACTATACATTGTCCTGTATTTTTGCTACATACTTCTATCAAGTTGTAAAGTCTCTGGTCCGACATGAAGTGAGTATACTCCTATTCGGTTTTAGTATCTACTGCAATGGTAAATTAGATAACAGGACAACAATGTATATATTTCATAGAAACACAAATGCAATATCTGTTCAGCATACATATTATGGAACAGAATAATCAATTTATACAAAAAAGTGTTTATAATGGTTTAAATTGTAATTTCGTTTTGTAAAACACAACATAAAAATTAAAAAAAAACAAATAGGGTATATTTTCATGTCGCATTATGACCAGATGCAAGTTTATGAATATGTTTGCAGATAGAACTGAAAATAATGTGTATTTAATTTATTTAATTTTTAATCGAGTATTTAAAATGTAAGTTTTCAGTTAGTGATTACTAGTTACCAAAGACTCCTTCATAAAATCAAAGTTGTAATTGGATAAGTAATTTAGGACCCCAGCTATGAATTATCTGTTCATGAATTGTCGGTTCAGTGAATTGGTGATTATCAAGGAAATATCGTTAACACAATCAAACAAGCCCAGTTTCAAATTATTGAAAATCAATACATCCGAATTTTGGTACCTAATTGAACGTCAAATAAGAAACAGTCAATGGATTTTCCTGAATTCTGGAATTAAATATCAGACATTAGTTTGAAATTCAGCCATCTAGGATCTTAAAAATAAACTGTGTTCTTCCGTATTTTTATAAAAACGCATGATAATACAGGGCTATTCAAATTCGAACATCACAGACATTTCCTTAAGTGCGCTCCAAGAGATTAAAAAAGAACAGTCAGAATAAAACTCAAACTGATTATGTTTGCCCTTACACACTCATGGATTAGTGAACTTCGGTAAAGAAAGTTCTTCAGTACATACCTACATTAAAATTGAACACAGAAGAAAATAACTTGCAATTTAATATTCACAACACCAACAGGTGATTTCGTTGTGCCTTGCGTCTCACTCTCATGTTGTCCATTAGGCACTATGTAGGAGTTCAATATCATGTGTGGTATTAAAACTGATACACCTTTCATAGACTCCCTGACTTGCATTTGAATAGCCTTATAATAATATGTACTTAGGAGTTTGTCCTCTTAATAATTATAGTAGTATTCTGAAACATATTTAGGTACCAACTGGTCATTGATCCGAATCATATCAATTATGATTTTCCAACTCCACACTACATAATGATATCTCAGACTGAAATTAAATGTGAATGAAGAAGAAGAGAGAGAAAACATGTTTTATTTGGTGTATACCCCCAAAAGGCCATTAACTGAGGTATTGCAGCCGAGAGAAGTAGAAAAAAGGACCTAAAAGTAGAACGAAATCGGGGTTTCTCTACCATCTTATTCTCTTAATTTTAAAGTTTTATATGATGTTCTCATCAGTTCTGAAATGTCATTCACTTTGTTTGAGTTCACCTTGTGTTCAATTTTGATATGTATAGGTATTAATTATACTGCAATGAAAGCTACAATATTTGTTATTGTATATAACATGACAAAGTATTGAATATCTAATGTCTTGGCTGAGGTCGTGTCAGCATAACAATGTTCATTCTTCAAGATCTGCTCCTAAATTGCAAATGAAATATCAAAACATCAGCCAGCATTCAGGAAAAGCCAAAAAATAAAAAATGTATTGACTATTTTCAAAATCATGCGATTTATTCAATGATAAACCCCTATTACTATAATGCCAATGTTTTGAAAATTGTCTAAGATTGAAACTTCAGGTTTCTTGTCAACACACGACAGCAGACAAAGTTATATCACTAAGTGATCACTAACTATTGCATCTATTAATTGGGGTTCACGTCACTATTCGCGATTGAAAATAACACATCGCCCCACCTGTCGGCAGCAACTTGAATACTTTTGAGCGGTTTGTTTTGATGATATGGCCAATAAGCACAAACAAAAAACAAATGTGAACCAATGAAAACAAAGTAAACATGCCGCTTTGACAGCTTTCAAGAACTCCGATAGGTACGCTTATTTTCTATCGCGAATAATATGATTATTTCTATGGTCACTAGAGACTAGAGGTACAAGTGGGAATTTTGTTCCGCCAATAATTGGATTAGAACTACCTTTATAAAGGATAACTATAACTTCATGGTGATTGAAAAAAGTTCAATAAACATTATTGTCATCTGATAACGAAATGATATATGTCCCAAAGGCATGTGAAGATATTGTATTTTATGGAACAGAACCTGTGCCAATCAATGCAAAATGATTGAAAACTTGCACTTTCCTGTGCGATAATTTGCACTCAATTCCGCGGTTTGAAAACGAGATGAGAATTATACCAATCAGATACCAATTTGATGGTAAATCTCACAAACCTACCTGTGTCACCCCTCAATATGAGCCAAATCCACGCCAAAGCGATTTATTGGCTGCCGTTATTCAGGACATACTTCCTTCATGTGATAACGAGTTGAAACAAAAATCAAATGAAAGTGGACAATGTCCCAAACGTGCCGCGATTCATACTGATCTAGTTAGTAAGATAAGATAAGATAAGATCTTTATTTTCCAGTAGACAACACAACATCCCTAACAACACGGGATCTTGCTGGTACATCCCGCTAAGGTCCTACAAATGTCCCAATGTTTCAGACTTAGGTACGATATCCCAGAGATGTTTTTCATGGGACATACATCAGATGTTCTCATTGGATGTTCTAGAAACATCCCATTTGGTATTTTTTTATAAACAATATCATGGTTCCATATTCGCTAATGATGATTGACATGATTGAATGGTTCAAACAATTGTGACATTTGAAACATTGAAGAGTTGGTAAAAAATGGAAATCAAAACTGTATTCGTACTCATATACTTATACCTATACCAAAGCCGGCTAATTTCATCGATAACAAATTGAAATAATTATACTAAATATTCCTTAATAGGATAACCAAAGTACCTGTTCAACATCATGAACCATGTAATAAACGACAAAATTGAAATATATCTCTCCAGCATATTTATTGCTGAATTTATTTGCTATACCAGCCGATAGATGGCGGTACAACTACGTTGCTAAGAGTTAATAACAGCCGTCGGACCAGAGAAAACAAATATGAGCCTCAAACAACTGTTATCAACAAGAGTCTCGAGATCATACCCGTGTGTTCGCCGAACACGCTCGATCGTTATCTAAGCGGTGGGGAGACCGAGACGTAAGCAGGCAGTCATGATACAATGAGTGAGCAGGCAGCTTCTCTCATGCTGTCTTTGTTTTTGTAGTACGGGGTGGGCCACCAACAGTTTTCTTGATCACATTACAACTTTTTTTTTTTCGAATAAATAAGAAACATTTGATAGGCATCAAGTGATCTACTGCGACCTATCAGATATCAGATAATGAACTCGAATGAAAGCGATGATTTGATTTGCAATAATTCGCTATGTCACGACGAGTCCTACATGTAAATAGCGAACCACTCATCGAAAATCATGAAACTATATGTACATATTATATGCTTATGTTTTGTTGGCGAGGCCGCTCGTTTTATTCAAATTATGTTCGATAATGTTCATCTGCTTCACTAGAAATTATTATTAGTAGTTGTGTAGTACTTAGTAGTATAGTAGTAGCTGCTTTGTTATTCAAAATGGAACACCTTATATTTTATTACATTTTTCGATTCTTCTAATTGAGCTATGATTTCGTTGATCAAGCTCAAGGTATGTGAAAAATCGAGATTTTTTTTGTATCGAAACTATACAATACCTATATTGATTTGTCAAAATGGCTTACATTTGTCCCTATCCTAACATTCTATTTACTATCTACTGATGCCATTTAATTGAAACAAATACAGGGTGGATCAGATTTCAGAATTATATAAAAGAAGTACTAGTATGCCTACTAAAAATATATATATATATATTTGAAATAAACAAAACAAATATATCACATAAAAAAACACACTCTAATATTCAACATAAAATGAAATTCAATCCCACTGGATGTATTTAAAAATATAAACAGTGTGCATGTCACTTCTATAATGGAATATCAACCCGTATATCTAACGTAACTGTTCAATTTTAAGGAGCGATAGATATATATACCAACTATGACCAAAGTGAGGTAATCTTCAGTGAAAAACACTGATGCTCTGGTCATGAACCCACCAACATTTCCGGAAAATGATATTAGGAGGCAAGATAGGTTGAAAATCACTTCGGATTCGAAATCAGGACGTAACCCTGTACCTCGAAATCGAAGCAAGTTTAGGACACATGTATATATGACCTTTATTCATCATAATATATCACAAGGAATCATCCCTTGAATTATTTCGGTGTTATTTAGATACACCCTGTATAGATCATTCTTCATCCCAATAAAGTTATTCAACATTTTTCCCATAGCGAAGTTCAGCAAATACCGATGGCGAGAGCACTATGTTTATTAATTTGAGGCACAACTATAGTGTATTTCACAGTAAATGGTATTGATTGAAGGATTATAATAAAACCAATTAGACCCTTAAGTTGTAAAATCCGAGATGCACATCATTAATGTAAAAGGACCGGATTAAGGTAATTTTGTTTCTCAGAGAGGGATTGTAGAGGATTACAGCTTACACTTCTTGTTCATTTTAGTCTTTGTATTTCATTGGAAATGTTCACTTGTGTTACGGCGTGCAATAATTTTATAACATTTATTTACGACTAATATATAATATAAGTATTATACTTGTGGTTTTTGAAGTATAATGCCATATATTAATCCCTTAGGGAATAATGGCGAGGGATTAATAGTCTTTTTCTACATTCATGCAAAAAGCAGAACTTTATTGAACTATATTTAGTAGAAAAAGAAGTTCTTTAGTGCACTTAGTTATTGACAAATAAAGTTGTTCATTGAAAATCTAAAATAAATAAATTTGTCGTAAATAAAGTAGAGTATACTACTCGCAATAATGGCTATTATTATTGACTCGTGGTATAATCTACTATTATTTGTTATTACAGACATTAATAGCAAAGATTTTATACCCCAACGTACAGAATAGGCAGTATGTGGCGTCCGTGGATAAAAACTAATAGTGCTTCTTCCAGTGGTTCGAAGAAGAATCACTTATCTTGTGACGCGAAAATCGTTATAAAAAATGTGTATAGTTCCTTACTTCAGCAAGGATATAACGAGAGTGCTGCAGCAAAAGTAACCAGTAATTTGACG